TGAAAACTGTTATCATACCCCCTCTCAGTCTTTCTTCTCCACAACTAAACAAACCCAATTTCTTCAATATTCCCTCATAAGTCATGTCTCCTAGGGTATGGCTACACTAGCTACCCTAGTTCAAACGGCTACACGTGGCACGGGCTAGGTAGTTCGAATTAACACTCTTAATTCAAACTACCGTTACTCCTCATTGCAGAATTAAGAGTGTTAATTCGAACTACCTAGCCCGTGCCATGTGTAGCCGTGGGCAGGTAGTTCGAGCTACCGGGCATTTAAAAATGGTGGCGCCGGGCACATGAAAATGAAGCCCAGGATATTTAAATCCCGGGCTTCATTTACAAGTTTGAATGACTACATTAGCCACCCTAGTTTAAACTAGCCATATCCCCAGATATTTAATACTTTTTGTTTTTCTTTGTACTTCAGGTTTGTTCACATCTTTCCTGAAATGTGTCCTCCAGATCAGAACTTGCAATCACCATCAATTCTGAGTAGTTTTGCCTGCAGAATGACTGCAGGATTGAATCCAGTCATTTTTAAATTGGTGAGCAAAGGGATTATGTGTATTATTTTTATAAATATCATACACAACTTAAGTATCAGAGGGGTAGCCGTGTTAGTCTGAATCTGCAAAAGCGGCAAGGAGTCCTGTGGCACCTTATAGACTAATTGAAGTGTAGGAGCATAAGCTTTCGTGGGCAAAGACCCACTTCATCAGATGCATGTAGTGGAAATTTCCAGAGGCAGGTATACCTGGAAATTGCCACTACATGCATCTGACGAAGTGGGTCTTTGCCCACGAAACCTTATGCTCCTACACTTCAGTTAGTCTATAAGGCGCCACAGGACTCCTCCCGCTTATACACAACGTAGTCTCTCCATTTCAATTATTCTACATCAAACAAGGCTATTAATAGGAAACAATCAGAAAATGAAACATTTGCAAAGATAAGGTATAGTCCAAAAAAATCAAGGGTCTTTAAAGGAACAATGGCTGGACCTATGGATTGTGGAACGCCTCTGTCTGTCTCCAACCTGATTTGCAAAGTTTATTTTTCCCTGACTTAAATCCAGCATCAGAGAAAACAGTAAAACCTGAAAGATGAGGGGCTAAGCAGAAATGGAGGGTATGGAAGGCTAATAGCAGCCTAGTGGGTGAGTATTCAATAGTGTAAAAACAAAGTCATCTTTTCCAACTCCACAGATGGAGATACCTGGACTGAAAGAAATCTACACCAGCTTGAAAGAAAAAAAATACGATGTAGGCAAGACCCTATAGATAGAGCCTTGTGAAAATACAAAATCTGTATCTACATCCCATAGCCTCAAAAATGAGCTGTGGATATAAAGCGAATATCCACACATGTGCAGGGCTCTACAAATACAGATTTTCTTTCTTGTAACCCTGTGGTCTGCATGCTAAGTTTCTTTGGGTGAATCAATAATTATTTCTCTTGAAGTAGCAATTTTTGAGTCATGTTAACCACCTGTTGTGTCAGACTTTTGGTCTAAAAGAACACAAAGGTGTCCAAAGCTCTTTTGGGGCTGTTGAAGTAACATCGGTCAGGAAACAGAGTGCCTGTAGTACATAAAACCCATCCCAAAGAGGCTGGACAACATAGCTCCACCCAGAAATTAATGAAAGTAGTGAAACCTGTCTCCTGAGTGATGCATGCAAGAGGAACCAAAAGAGGATCTCAACCTTAGTCTATATCCATGCAAATCACATTGTAATGCTTTTCTATTCATGTTTATGATGGATGGGCTATGTCAGATTTCAGGGAATTTATCATACTTATTCACTGTTAAGATGGTCTAAAATCTCATTAGTGCTGGACATATTGCCATCCCTGACATTCACACTAATGGACATGAATAGACATGCTTGAATTACAACAGAAACCAGGCCCCTCACAAACTATTACATAAAACTCCACTGACCCTTAGTTGAAGTTCAAAGTTTGGATAACTATGTTCCAATTATGGATAATTTCCATGATATGCCTGTGTACTTCTGGGATGCATCTGAGATAAATAAAACTAGAAGTCCTAAAAAAGCTTGTACTTCTGTCAGCCTATATTTTTTTCAGATTCAAGGGGTGCCTTTCAATGAAATCTCCAAAATTTCAGAAGTTTGATCATCATTAATCAGAAGTATCTGGATCTCACCAGAATTTAAAATTAAGTCTTTTAAGATTAATGAACTAAAACTATTGCCACTAATGACTTAGAAATTCTTTTTTATTTTTATTTTGTCATGTATCTCACATTGAAAAAAAATCTACACATCCGCACTCCATTCTACATAAATGGTTCTTATTACTACAGTAT